AGAGGTTGGAAGAGATATGACTTTGCAACAAATGAATTAAAAAGCAGAGATAGCAATCATGATCTCAAATAAGGAAATATGAAAAAGTACGTGGCTTAAGAGAAGCAGGGAAAGTAGATTGTGTTTCACGGCACCATACGTAATGAAATAATATAACGTAATATTTATGCACTGAATAGCACCTAAGTACTTGAAGGTAAAACTAGTCTAGTTACAGGGAGCTATATATAACAGAACTTTGGGAGTCCTCCATTTGTCCTTTTTAGACCTAGACAAATCTTACCAAAAAAAAGTAAAGAAGGAAAGAAGTTAAGGACTTCAATCGAATGTTTAAGAAGTTATATATGATTAATCTTTGACCATTACTGAATGGAAATCAAAAGTGATATACCTATTTGTCACCTTTGGATGGCACCTCTATAAAAATTGTTAACTTTTTAGGTCACAAACTGGTGTACTGGTTGTTTCCTTAACTCAGGATGCTGCTTCCCATCTCTTTGCTTTCACACAGGAATAGGGGCCTATCCTGCTTAGAATTTACTTGCCCTTCATTTCTGCCTCTTCAGTACAATTCCACAAGTATTTTATAAGTGCTTATCATGTATTAAGCACTCCTCCTTTGCCCCAGATTTCAAGGGGTTTTTGCCATTTAGGTTAGACTACAGTTATATTCAGTGGATTGCCTGTCTGCAGGCTGTACTTTTTATTTTTACCAACTATCATTACTGTCCATTTCAAGATTTTGTGCTTGTTATGTTTATAAAGAATTTGTTAGGTTTCTGCTCTGGCTAGAGGAAATTAACAATCAAGCTATTTTATTCCTCTTATTATTTAAATCATTACTTTCAATTACCTCCCAATAGTATTGGAATTCTATTATTGTCTTGATGACTTATAATAATTATGTATGTTTAGTCTGCATTCACTCTGGAAAGCATCATGATTGAATCTAAAATTGTAACTCAGTTATAATAAATTAAATTTCAGTAAGCAGGAAAATTTATGATTTGGTGTGGAAACTGTTTTACACAATCAGTGTAACATGAAATTAATTATGAGTGTCAGTGTAATCCTATATCTTCAAGAAGATATATCTTTGAAAGAGACTTTTGATTTTCATGTAGCTATGCAATGACTTTTTTTCACCTTTAATTTGTCTTTCCTTAAAAAGTATGTACACAAATATGTATGTATTCCATCTCAATATTTTCTTGTTTTCTTTCTTTTAACACAAAACTATTTTAGGAGGAATGAGGAAGGAAATGAAGGTCAATGTTCCTGTTTTCCTCTTTCTCTCCTCCTTAGCTGGAATTTCCCTTACCTGTGCTGAGCATTCAGCAGTTTATGAGGCATAGACATGCTACCCTGAATTCCTGCCAGTTGTCTTATATTGAATTGGGAGGGGGGAGTTAAATTGAGCTATTTTTTAAAACCTTTCTATCATTGTTTATCTCATTGATAAACTTGAAGTCTTGAAATAGCACAAGTTAGCAGCATCTCTGTGCAAAGGATAGTTCATATAGTGGTTTTCTGTTTGAGTCATGTCTGTATAGGATGGTTTGGTGCTTTTAATTTTCTGCAGCTTTGGTTTTAGTTTTTCTCAGAAACTTCCTGTTTGAATGTTTTTGTGGGTATGTTTCCCTGAATAAGTTTCTTCGGTAATCTATGCATATGCTTCGCTGATGGCTAGCTATAACGTCGCTGTTCTTTTTTTCCGCTTATTCTCTCCCCACTCCCCTTCCTCCAATTTAACACTTTATTAGAAGTGTATATACAACATCTAATAACTGTCATCCTCTTCAGTTTGATTATCAGTGTTTCTTCTTCTATTGCCTTTAGTTTTTTGTGCTCTAATGCTTAACAAAAGTTTCTAGTGTAACTACCATAATGTTTTTAAATATGTTCTGTGCTCCACAGAGCTCATTGTCTCTATTATATTTGTAAAGTTCTTGAATTTAATTCATGTGGAAAGTTGCATTGTTGATAATAATACTTAGAAAAGTCTTTAAAGCATAGTAATGTGCAAAGTGATTAATAGTATACATTTTACAGATGAGAAAACTGAAGCAAGAAGAGATTAAATGACTAGTTCAGGATCACACAACTAGTAAGTGTTTGAGGCTGGATTTAATCTCAGAATTTGAACTCCTGACTCTAGGTCCAGCAGTCTTTCCACTGTACCACCTAGGTACCTGTGGGGTGAATTGGAGAGTAGAGAAAATGGATCCAGAGAGACCACCTAAGAAGTTGTTAGTCTGATTCATAGATGGGAGATGAAGAAAAAAGAGAAGAGGTGCCTGCCCTTGAGGAGATTTTATTCTAAAGGAGATAGTAAGCACATATGTAGATAGAGAGAAAACACAAACAAGACAAATACAAGGTAACTTGTGTTGGGAAGAGGAAAATATTGATGTCTGAGAGAACCAGGAAAGGCCTTATGTAAAATGTGGAACGTGAGCCGAGTGTGAAAAGAAACAAGGGATTCCAAGAAGCAGAAGTGAAGTTGACTTCATTTTAGGCAATGGAAACAGCCAGCAAAAAGGCATAGAAATGGACATCTCCCATGTGGAGAACTACAAGAAGGAAGGCCATTTTGTCTGGGCCTTAGAGTTACATGGAATGGAATAAAACAGGAAGGGTCAGGATTCCTCAAGTATAAGGGCGAGGACTGGGATGAAGAAGAAGACTGTGAGCCAGATTTTATTGAGAACGACCTGGGACAGGTTAAATAATAGCCACCAGCAGATGTATAGGGGGAAAAAGAGTTTGCAGTTTCAAGGTTTTTTGTTGTTGTTGTTTTTTGGCTTTGGTTTTTTAAAATATATCTACAGCTACAAAGAATTATAGAATTACCATCTATATTTTTTTTATCTTTCCTGCAGCTAGCACAGTGTTGTCAGTTGAATTTGTTAAATTGAATTGAACAGTTACTCAGGTTAAATAGTTAACAGAAATCCTGGTTGATTAGCCTACTTATTTATTTGTTTGTTTGTTTGTTTGTTTGTTTGTTTTAGTTCAATGAATGTCTGTTTAAAAAGAAAGAAGTTGGGGGAAAGAGTAACTTGTGTAGTTCTAGGGGAAAAGAGATATCTTAGAAAGCCATTGAAATGTAGTTCCTAACCTAATAATTCATTAATTATTCTGTAGTTGATATTTCCACAAAGTTGAATTAGACACCCACCTTCGTTTATTTTTAGTACCTGGACAAGTTGTTTTTTTCTTTGTTACTCTACTGAATAAGCAGTCAAAAGCTCAAGTCAGTAAAAGAATGACTATGCTTTGGTGGGTTAAGTAATTTACTTTAAAAAAAAAGAATTGAAGATGATACATAATTATATTTGTATGTACAAAGACAAACATATACATAAAAGTAACAATTACTTTTAACAAATAACCCTAGGAAATTTGTACAATAAAATTTCACAATTGAGTTTATAGACTTAAAAGATCAGTTTGATTAAATGGTAAGAATTATTTCATGAATTTGTAAAATACTTTTCACCCATTGAAGATTATCTTTTAATAAATAAATGGAACTTTTTCTATCTAATAATAAAGTCACATACAGTACATAATGGTAATTATTCAAAACCCACAAACAAATGGATCTATTAGGTAGTCTCTGAAAAGCAGAGAAAAGGAGGAAGAGTATTCTAGATATGTGGAATGGTTTGCACTTTAGGAGATGGGTGTATCAAATTCAGTGGAGGAACATAGTTTGTGGAAAGAAATAGTATGAAACAATGCTTCAAAGTTAAGTGAGAACCAAAATTTGGTGGACCTTAAATGTCAGACTGATGAGTTTGTGTTTTTTTAATAATAGCAGATTATGGGGGAAATATAGAAATTTAGTTATAATTAATTTAAAATGCCAGAAATGTAGGGTTTCTTCCATAAGACCAAGGTTTTCTTTTTTCTTTAATAAATTTATTTTTTTTTTGCGTTCTTTTTTTTTTTTGGATTTCTGAATTCTCTCCCTTCTTTCTCTCTCCCCCAGCTGTTGAGAAAGGCAAGCAATATGAATTCAATTATACATGTGAAACCATGCAAAATATTTCCATATTAGCCATGTTGTTAAAAAAAAATTTAAAAAGCAACAAAAATAAAGTGAAAGAATTATTTGCAATTTGTACTCAGAATTCATCATTTGTCTCTCCAGAGTTGGATAGCATTTTTTATCACAAGTCCTTCTGTATTGTCTAAGATCATTGTATTGATCAGAGTAGCTGAGTCTTTCACAATTAATCATCTTTACAGTATTGTTACTATGTACAGTGTTCTCTTGATTCTGCTCACTTCACCTTGCATCAGTTCACGTCTTCCAGGTTTTTCCACAATCTTCCTGTTTGTCATTTCTTAAAGTACAGTAGTATTCCGTCACAATCATAAAACACAACTTGTTCAGCCATTCACCAATTGATGGGCATCCCCTCAATTTCCAAATCTTTACCACCACAAAGATACTATAAATATTTTTGAACATATAGCTCCTTTTCCTTTTCCTTTTTTTTCTCTCTCCAATCTTTTTGGGATACAGACCTAGTAATGGTATTGCTGGGTTAAAGGGTATGCACAGTTTTATAGCCCTGTGAGTTTAGTTCCAAATTGTTCTCCAGAATGGTTTCACAATTCCACCAACAGTGAATTAGTGTTACAGTTTTCCCATATCCCCTCCAGCATTGGTCATTTCCCTTTTCTATCATGTTAGTCAATTTGATAGGTAGGAGGTAGTACCTCACAATTGTTTTAATTTGTATTTCTCTAATCAATAGTGATTTAGAGCATTTTTTCACATCTATAGATAGCTTTGATTTCTTCTAAAAACTGCCTGTTCATATCCTTTGACAGTTTATCAGTTGGAGAATGACTTATTTTTATAAATTTTACATATATATATATACATAGTGTATATATATATATGTTTGAGAAATTAGGCCTTTATCAGAGAAATGTGCTTTAAAAAATATTTCCCAGTTTACTACTTTCGTTGTAATCTTGGCTGCATTGGTTTTGTTTGTGTAAAACCTTTTTAATTTAATATAATCAGAATTAACCTTTTAACTTCCCTTGGTCTTCTCGGTCTCATTTTATCATAAAGTCTTCCCTTATACATAGATATTACAGGTAAAGTTTTCCATGTTCCTCTAATTTGTTTAAGATATCACTCGTGTTAATCATGTTCACCTTTTAACCATATCTTGGTAAGCAATGTGAGATGTTAAAAACTAGGCTTTTCTTATGAGAATATCTATTCTGAACTCCAAGAGTTATAAACATACTCATTTTTATGAATCTTTGTGTTGACAGTCATAGGATTGGGTTCTAGTTATTTAAACACTTTTTACACAGGACTAATAAAATTACCTTTGTTTCACTTTTGTGTTGAAATTCTGAGCTAATGCCTCTGAAAATAACCACAGGCCCAGCTCTTTGTAGCAAAACCCACAGCTACAAATTAAATTTTGTGATTTTTTTAAGATGCCAAATGTCTTTTTGCACTTTATTATATCAGCAGAGCTGTATTATTAATCATCCAATTTGTCATTGAGGTTTGCATGGGTACTTTCCCCATTTTCATAGTGGACTTGATATAAAGATCAATTGCTTTAATGTGGTGAATTGGCCTTTCTAAAGAGATTATATAGTGTCTTTTTAAATGTTTTATCTAGTAAAAGGAATATAATGGGATCTGTGCTACTTCTGGCAGCAGCAAGACAGATGAGGAAATTTTTTATTTCCACTAAATACCCCAGTTGTTGGCTGTCGTTTGTTCTGCTTAGGGCATAAAAAATGGGCATAAAAATACTATATGGAAGAAAGCAAATTATCAGTATAAATTGAATGACCAAAAGGTGTCTTTTCACTGAACAATAAGTGGAATATTTCTGTGTAATGGATGTGCTTTTTCTTATTTTCCTTAGATAGCTGACAAAAGAATAATATGATAGCAGTACCACTAGGAAGCAAAAACCAATAAATGCAGTTCCAATGAGTCTTGCAGGACCAGAAATGCCAGCACCACATTCTGCCACTTCACTGTAGCACATTTCCCCATTTTCTTCATAAAGCTCCACAGCAGAGTAATAAATAGTAACAGGAATTACTGTGGCCAGTACAGCCCCCCATATAAAGCTGCATACCTTTTTGGCAAAGTTGGGCTGGCAGAATTTTTTTAGTATGCGTCCATAAAATATTTTTTCATAGAAGGAAGCATTCTCTTCCTCGATGAGGTCTTTTTTTATGAGAGTAGCATAACGGCTTATCGCAATGCAGCTTAAAGTGGTGAGACTGACAAACATGCTGACATGCAAGAACAGAGTACCCAAAAAATTGACTACCTTGCATTTTGTTGAACTGTATGTCCAATTAAATCCTTCCATGAAATAGGCACTCATAAAAGGCATAGCACTGCATACAAGCAGATTTGCAGTCACCAGATTTATTAAGTACATGTGTGTTGATGTTTTCCTATCAATTTTTCTTAAAAATACCCATTGTGAGAGTATATTTCCCAAAAGTCCTGGAATGCATAGAAAGATATAAATGATAGGTAAAACAATTAAAGAGGCCGCTGATTGTTGAATATGTGTGGAATTATAACCCATTTGTACCAAATTCTCTTGAACGTGGTGCGGGATCTAGAATAGAATTGTACAGAAGAGTTGATTTCATATTATGGTTTTGAATAAGTATTTGGAGAAAATAATAATGTAATTATATACGATATGTTGCTGCTAAAATAGATAAAAAACATCAGTGTCTTCTCTATTCCAAATTGTTGAACTGAATAAAGAACAACTAAAACAATGATTATTGTAATGGAAAATATATCTAAAAAATTAAATTTTAAACTAATAATTTTAAGTGCAGTATTTGTTCTTTGTACCAAAAAAGTTTTAAATTCTTCAGGTTTCATTTGTAATAGTTAATGGTAGTAATAATTTCCTTTTCTTGAATAGTAGTAATTGTTTAAAAGTACATTATCATGGTAGATTCTCACTAATCAGAGAGAAGCTACATCTGATTCAGTTTTAAAAAGTACTTAAAATACTTTTAAACTTTAAAAATAAGTCAAATTCAAATCAATAAACTTTTGTTGGACAAAAGTAATGCCAATTATTACTTTCGAGTACATGTTGATAGTAACAGAAAGTTTACAGGAAGTGTTGTTAAGTGAAGATCCTTCAGGCTTATTGACATTAGGTAAAGCCTGTCAACACACCCTCCAGAACATTAGATTTTGTCATGTTTCATGCCTGTGACCCATATAACCTTACACTCCTGCCCTCTGCCCCATTCCAGCTATGGAACTGTAATCAAATCACTACAGTCATTGCTACTAGAAAGAGTTTTTCATATCACCTCCCTTGGGATTCCATTCACCATCTCTGTGATTTCCCAAAGCAAAATATTCCTTCTAGGCTGCCACTACCTTATATGTTCTATATTCATTATTAGAATATAAACTCCATAAAAAGGCAGGGCTTGGTTTGTTTTTTGTATTTGTATCCTTAGTGCTTATCATAGTGTTTTGTGGCACAGAATAAGGAAGGACATATATTACTTCCATTATTTAATGAAGAAAAATATTAAGCTAATTTTTTTGTTTAGAAAACCCCTTCTTTATAGCTGAAGAGTATACTTTAATCCAGAAGAGCAGAAAATGGCATAGGTCCCAAATTGAGTTCTAACCTGAAACAGGGATAAGATGTAAATCACAAAGGTGATGAAGAGGCCTAATCAATCATAGTGCAGGAATCATCCACAAATACTCTTAATACTTTTCCCCAGTTTTGATATCTAGAATGCTGCTAGAATGCTATTTTTCTCTGCTGGCAATTGGGGACTGCCTGTCTCTATTGAAATATTTGAGGTTTTTCAAAAAACAAGCTATTTAATCACAACAACAGTGTATATGTACTTTTTTTTTTCTTCTCACTTACTTCAAAGGCCTCACAGGAATCCCTGAAGAGTTGAACTGTAAGTCTTAGATCATGGCTTGTCCACTCTTGTTATAGAAGGCTAGAAAAGGGTTGATTAGAAAAGACAGAGGAAGGGACCAGGGGAAATAGAGAGTTTGAACTGAGGTCTATTATCAGGAGCAGACAAAAAGAAACTGACCTACATTCAGTAACCCTATTTATTCAGTATAACAGTATGTCTCCATTTAAGTAACATGTGAAGTGCTTTGTAAATCTTAAGGTACAATGTGAAATTTGATCATTATGCAATACTTTAGGTTCTTTAAAGTTTGTTAAAGAATTCTCTTCTAAAATTTTATTTGCAAGTAAAGAAATAAAACTTAACACTAAGCATTTACAGTTTCATTTTTTTGTGTTATGCATTTTATATGATTATCTAATATTTGACAAAATAGCAGTGCTTCCGTGTCTTACATTAAAAGATTCTAGTTTATAAAATTATACTAATTTTAAAGCAGGCAGACAACAAACATTTACCAAGAGCTTACTATGTGCTGTGTACTCTATTAAGGGCCAGAGATGCAAATACAAGGAAAAAGAAACAGAATCCCTTCCTTCAAGGAACTTAAATGAAAAGAGGAAGAGGAAAGAAGGTATCCATGTTGGGGCATAGTGGCAAAATCCAGAAGCAGGCTGTTGAGGGGACCTACCTACTACTACCTTCAAGACATCAAAAGATTCTAGATGTCACTTAAGTTCAGCAAATGTTTTCTTCTATGTCTACTGTCTACAGAAACTGCTACACACTGAGAAGGATACAAAGTTTAGCTGATGTGCTTTTTGCATTGACTCTGATCTCAAAACATCTTACTACGTTCATAGGTTGTTATGATCAAAAGAATTCAGCACCTGGCAGCTGACCTTCTGATGATGTGTATCTTCAAACTTAGACTTGTTCTCAAAAGGCACATGTTGTCTGCCACTTTCTTGTACTCCAAGGCTTTTAAGCTTGGGGTGAAACAGAGCTTGTGCCCCACCAGCATAACTTTGGGGAACCTAGGGTCAGTCACCTCAGCAGCATAAGTAGGCATGAGAGTAAGACTTTAGTGAAAGAAAAACAACCTGATCTAGATAGTAGAGATATGTATATTTTTTCAGAAAACAGGAAATTAACTGATTAGAGTACAAAAAACTTTGTTTTGTTAACAAAATTAAGTTTATAATATGCCCGTTTCAACTTACACTCTCTAGACCAGGAGTCAACAAATTATGACCTGTGGACCAATCAGCCTGTTGCCTGTTTTTATACAGCAAGCTTAGGAATGGTCTTTACATTTTAAAATAAAGTTTTATTGTATTTTAAAAAGTAAAAATTACTTTTCACTTACTGGACATACAAAAAACAGGTAGAAATCCTGATTTGGCCCTTGGACCATAGTTTGCCAACCCCAGTTCTCAACTATGTTTATTTATCCTGGCCAAGAATCAGATAGCTACTCTATCAATACCACCTATATATGTTCTAGATCAGAATATTAACTTTGGAATTTATATCTGAAAAATTATTGCGGTACTCTACTGAGGTTATGTGAATTCACCATAGTCTTTGAAGCTTTAAGCCTAAATTCTGTTGTCCTTACAATTTTAAGAAAACATTTTGTAAGTAGAGATATATAAAACTATAATAATAATAGTTGATAAAGAGTACTTTATGGTTTGCAAATTATTTTGCACACAGTATCTGTGTTTACTCTTCATGATGTAAGGTAAATATTATAAGTATTGTCCCCATTGTACAAATTAGGAAATTGAGTCTTATTGAGCTTAAGGGACCCATAGCACCTTATCTAGTAAGTGTTTGAGGTTTACATATCCAGCTCTCTTTCCACTATACTATGCCACCTATCAATCTATAACTTGATTGATTTAGAAATCACAAAAGTTGAAATGAAAATATTCTTATATTAAACGAAATCCAAATCTCTGGTCTGAACTGGCTTTGATTTGACATGTATGGTGCAATCTTTTTATAATGCTGATATTGAGAATATCTTCTACCTTAAATTGTATTATATCATGCTTTTATAATAACAGCTTACATGGATAGTACTTTAAGATTTTTAAAAGTGCTTTATATGTATTATCTCATTTAATCCTTGTAACAACCCTGTGTAGCAGGTGCTATTATTGTCCTCATTTTATACATGATGAAACTGAGGCAGACAAAGGTTAAATATCTGACCCAGGGTCACACAGGCAGAAAGCATCTGAACTCCCATGTCCCTTCTTAGAATAATACTTCTTCATCCTGCAGTGCTGTCAAGCTATCTCCCCATGTCTCTTCTACCGTTCATAGCCAGACTGCCAGAAAGACTTATCTAAACACATCGCCTCCTTGTCTTCACTTACCTGTTGAGTTTATCTTCCACCTCTGCCAGGCTTCTGGAATTGCTTTCTCTAGTTACCTAGGGTCTCATAAGTGTTAAATCCATTGACTTTTTTTTTTCTCATTCCTAATTTGGTTGATTTCTCTGAAGCTTTGGACATTAGAACATTTCTTCACTCTAAATGCTTTCTCTTTTCTTAGATTCCATAACACTGATCTCTTGTTTCTTCTGCCTATCCCATTCTTGAATTTGTCTCTTAGAAAGAACATCATCCGCTAGCAAACCTGGTTCTCCCTCAAGGACTATCTTGGGCTTTTTCTGAACTCGGTGTTATTATCAGCTTCTATGGGTTTAATGATCACATCCACTAAGAAGACTTCCAGATCTATATGTCCTACCAAGCTCTTTCCTGAATCCCAGTCCTGCATATCCAGTTACTTGCCAATTCTGGTTAATTCTGCCTCCCACTGTCTCTTACATCTACCTCTTCTCTCAGTTCATAAAGCCTCTGCCCATCCGTCATCTCTCACGTGAAATAACATTCCAACTCCTCTCCCTGCTTCTTTCTCATCTCTTCACTCTCCTAGTCATTCTCCATACAGCTGCACAATTAGCGTTCCTAAAATACAGATCTAACCATTTCACTCTCTGGTCACAATTTTTAATTGGCTCCTTATCCTTATAGATAACCCATTACCTCATTAGCCTTGTATTTATAAAGCCCATTGTAGTCTTGGACCCACCTACTTTTTCAGACACTTCATTGCAGTTACTATCACACACATTTTTTCAGCCAAACTGTGACCTTGTTTTCTGAACTCAACATCCCATCCCCTCTCTGTGCCTTTGTGCCCCCATGCCTGTGATGCACACCATTCTCACTTCTGCTTTTTAGAATTCCTGGCTTTCTTCAAGGTTCAGCTCAAGAGCTGTCACTTGTTACTAGTCTCTTCCTTCTGAAATTACCTTATTTTTATTTACCTGTGAAAAGACTCTGTCTTTCCAGTAGAAGAGAAGCTTCTCAAAGCAGAGACTGCTTTTGTTTTCTTTATCTTGTTAGTGGCTAACACAGTACTGACATTGTACATAATACTTAATGTTTATTGATCTATCTGCAAATATTGCTTTCATTTAGCAGAATCTTATTATAAGTGAAACAGTATGTAGGGCTGCTAGCTAACTTTGCAACTTTGCTTGCCTTTTAAAACTGCAAGAATTGTGAGGAAATAAAGGAGACAGTGATGTAGTGAGAAGAGTACTAGACTTGGAGTCAGGAGATACCTGTCTTTGAGCCTCCCCCTTGTGAGGTCATGAACTGTGAGACCATGGGCAAAATACGGAACTTATCTGTGCTTGAGCTGCTTCATCTGTAAAATGAGTATACTAATTTTAGAATTTAGTATATAAAGTGCTTTTATATATCTTAAAGTACTCTGAAAGTATTCTGAGAAAGGAGAAAATAGTATTGATTAGTCCTGACAAAGTTGAGTTTATGTGGTATTCTGACTTGTAAAAAATAGCATCTGAATACCTTTTTTTTAAGCTTCTTGATGGTTATAGAGAGAGACAGGAGGGAAAGGTTGTGTATAATTTTTCAATATATGTATTGAACAGTAAACTAATATTTTGAGCTTTGTCCTTATTCTTTTTCATTTAAAAAATGTCTAACAAAAACAGAGGGGGAGATTTTTATCATCTTATGTAAAGACAAAAGTATAAGAGTAAGTTGCCTGTGTTATTTTCTAATAGGAGGTTTTTGTTCTTCTTTCTGCTTTAAGGTAAAATAATAGCATGTCACCACAGTGCCTAACTCATATCACTTTAAAAGTGCTTTTTGAGTTTGATTGAATTGAATTGAATCATGGAATATAAAGCCTATAAGACTTATACTTTTTTAATTAAGTTTCAATTTTGATTAATATTTTAAATGTCTGTATGACATAATCATGTATCCTTTCATAAACATTTTTAGAGTTCTACAAAATTCTATTTTTTAGTATTTTGAGCATTTTTATTATCTAATAGATAAATTAGCAATCTACCTTACCTGTGTGATATGCACTATTATTTAGATTCACCAGTGATGGATTTCAAACTTCAGTTTCTCCAGTCACCATTCCAAAATTCTTGTATTTCAGAAAAGCATAGGCGAAGTCTTTTAAAATTCCAGTAGATGTAGTTTCTCAGAAGATTGAGGTATCCTAAATTAGGTTGTTTAAAAAACAGACAAACCTAGAGCTTACAGTGCAGTGTACAGGTTCAGTTTAAGAATTGAAAATAAATCTATTTTCTTAAGGTTGGAGGAAGTTAACAGACTAGTTCCTTATTGGCTATTTTAAGTTCTGGTTAGTTATCTAACTGATATTATGCTTTTTAAAAAGCTAGTTAAGAGGTGAACCAGTTAGTCTTACACAAAAGAAAAAACTTTTATACTTTGAATAGCCATATTGTTGGCAAAAATACTAGAGTGGTTTGCTGTTTCCTTCTCTAATGAATTAAGGCAGAGGTTAAGTGACTTGCCCAGGGTTACACAGGTAGTAAATGTCCAAGGTTGGACTCGAACTCAGGTCTTCCTGATTCTAGACCCAGCATTTCCCAAACGAATCTTAAGAGTCTCTAGGAATGCCAATATTTTGGTATATCTACATCTATCTGTCTGTCTGTCTGTCTGTCTATCTATCTATCTATCTATCTATCTATCTATCTATCTATGTATCTATAGGAATCTTCATTTCAGAAAAAGTTGCCAAAGTTAGATTGTGGATATAAAAAGTTGGGGACAGGAGCTACTCTAGTTAGTAATCTAATACTGAATTAATAAAAGCTCCACACAATTTTGAAGGCTGCCAAACATGTAAATAAATATAGCCAGAAAGCTATACCTAATAAGAAACACTACCCTTTTACACAGAAGCACAGAATGTACTCCAGAATGTTTTCTGGAGGGGACCTAAGAGATCCCCTGTTCAACCCCCTCATTTTAAAAATGAGGAAACTGAAACCCTGATAATTTAAATTACCTGTCTTGTGCTGCCAAGCTAATAATTGGCAATTGTGGAATTAATACTTGGGCTTTGTGATTCTAAATCCTACTTCTTCCCATGCTACCATACTGCATTCTTAAGTGACTAAATGAGGATATGGAAAAGAGAGAGCTGGTGTCCTAAATCTGTTTGTCACTTAGCGTTCCATATTTTATTCATCTTATACATTTAAATTAATGCAGTAATTTTGCCATTTGGAATTTTTTGAATTCTTTAATTATTCCCATAATTCCAATAACTTTTACATACCATTTTTACAATCTTCTTTTCCCTAATATTTTTCCTCTAAACAAAGGGCAGAGTTATTATGCTGGTATCTAAGCCTTGATGTACGAGGTACTCAGGTCTCATTTACCACAGTCAGTGGCAATGTTAATTTCACTCTATAACTCTTGGCATTTTGCTGCTCCTTCAGTAGCTCTCGCTATTTCTCAAAAGGGATTGCTTAAATTTTTTTTAAAAATCATTCTAAAGAGTTTAGAGAACAGGCTGTGAAGATTATGAACTGGTATTTGAAAGATGGTATTTATTCTTAAGCTAGCTTTCTTTTCCAATTTCATGTCTGGGAATGATTTAGGGGCCAGGCAACTATTGTAGATTCTGTTCACTGCTTGTGTGCCACTTTGCATATTTCCACTGACTTAGAGATGTACTGTTATAATTCAAGGCCAGAAGAAGGTAGTAGGAGGGACATATAGGAGAGAAGGAAATATCCCAGGTATACAGATGTGGAAAAAAATATTTCAGCAGGTGGATCTAAGGGGAAAGTGCACTCCTGGTATAGTATAGTGTGAAATATAGCTCTGTAAAGTGTAGGCTGGACCCACATTCTGGTGTACTTTAATTGCCAGGCTAAATGGTATATATTTTATTCTAGAAGAAATAGAGGCATTGAAAATTTTTGAACTAGGGTTGCCATGCTTATACTTATGCATTAAGAAGATTATTTTAGCAGCTTTGTGAAGAATGAATTTAAAAGGGGAGGGATTAGAGGTTGGGAGAGCAATTAAAAAGGTATTGTAGTAGTCTGCATGAAAGGTAATGAAAGTGTACAGAAGGTTATCAGAGAAGGGGACAAATACAAGTGAGATTGTAGACACAGAATTATATAATGAAAGTCAAAGATGACTCCAGAGTTACATGGCTGGGAACATAGTGATACTAGGAACATAAATAGGGAAGTTAGAAGAGTGTAGGTTTAGGGGAAAGGATGACAAGTTTAGTTTTGAACATGTAGAATTTAAGACATTAGTGCTTAGGGAGAATTTAGTACTTAGTATGTAGATTTAGGGTCTATAGGAGTGATTAAAGACATGAGAATAAATGAGATCACTGGAAAACAAGTGAGGCTTAAAGGGAATGTGACCTTGTCATGTTTATTTAGGGAGCAGGAGGAAGCAGAGGGTGAATTGGCAGAGACCAAGAAATGACCAGACGAGTAGGAGGAAAACCAGAAGAAAGTACTAAGAGTTACTAGATGTGACATGTGGATTTTCAGTAGAGTCTTAAGATCAGAAGCCAGATTGCAAAGGTTTGAGAAGTAAGGAAGTGGCAAGGTAATGAGAAAGTGAAAGACAATAGTCATTTAATAAGTGTCCTCTAAGTATCTACTTTGTACTGTGCTACATACATCATTTGAAAAGGGGCTTGTATGGGTTTCAGAGAAACATTGGACAGAATCACTGTCCTTAAAAAAACTTAGAAGTCTGTGAGTCAAGATTTACGTATAGGGAACTATTTGAAAATAAAACCATATATAATGAAATCCTAAATTTTTCTGTACAGGGAAAAAAATAATAAAAGCAATGTAGAATATGATCATTGTATACATGAAGAGAGAGGATGAGATTATTTCGAAAAGTACCTGTTGATGCTAGTCTGTAACCCCATGAAAGCAAAAAGAATGAAGGTGGAGTGTGTGCTCCTGAATATTGATATCCGGGGTCACAAAAGATAGGTAAGTTTGGAGTTGAGTTAGGAAACACGTTCTGGTCATCGGAAGCAGGCTTTGCAATGGCTCAGAGATGAGACTGAAGGCCTAGTTCAAGGAACGGCAAATAGGCCAGTCTAGGTGGACTATAAAGGAGAATGTAATAAGCCTAGAAAAGCCAGCAGGAAACAGATTTAGAAAGGAGTTTCAAATATGAATCTGAGAAGTTTTTGTTTTGTCATAGATGTGACTGGGAGTCATTGAAGGTTCTTGTTATATTTGCATATTCATTTTGGTCAAGGGGAGGTTCCACACAATCGTTTTCCTTCCTTATCTTCTTTGCTTGTTGTATCAAGGCCTACCACCAGGAATTTGCTCGGTTGACTGGCCTGGTATTGCCCTAATAAAGACAATAAAATGCTTTCTCTCTCTTGTTTCCTATTTATCCTGTCTATAGCTTGCCACACATATGCACACACGTTTGCATGTGGTCTCCCCATTAAAATGTGAGCTCCTTGAGGGCAGGGAATGCCTTTTGCTTCTTCTTGTATCCCTAGTGTTTAGCACAGTACTTGGGACATAGTAGGCACTTAATAAATGTCTTTTGATTGATATACAACAAGAGCAAGTAGAAAACTGTGTCAACAGATGGGTGATGGGTCAAACAGTATTTGTTTGCCATGGCTTCTGGATACATAGAACTATCAATGTTCAACTTCCCAGTGGCCCAATGGAGCTATTTAGCCATGGTAGAGATCCTTCCCTACATACAAAATATATTTCCTGGCCATTTCTGTTACAGCAACCAGGTCTTTTCTCTCCTATTCCAAATTTAGACAATAGAAAAAATACCATCATGTTGAACTCTTAACATTC